TACAAAGTGAAATACCTCCAATAGAAAGTGCAACATCGTCGATCAATGAAGCAATCTTTTGCCGAGTTCATATAATCATATATTCAGTTTTTAAGGCGCTTAATTAGAGTTTATTTACTTGCACCTTGCTAGTCTTTTTAATTTATCAATTGAGGTAGGCATTTTCCCAGCTGAATTGAAAAAGGCCAAGATTTCTCCAATTTTTAAGAGTGGTGAACGAGATATTTCTGACAATTATAGACCGATATCTGTCCTAACTAGTATTGCTACAGTGTTTGAAAGACTTATTTATGACCAGCTGTATGCATACCTTATACATAATAACTTAATTGATTCTCGGCAATCGGGATTTAGATCGCTTCACTCAACAATGACTGCACTATTAGATATGAATAATGACTGGTGCTTTAACATTAACAGAGGGATGTTAAACGGTGTCGTCTTCTTAGACTTAAAGAAAGCTTTTGACACCGTTGATCATCTTATTCTTGTGACCAAATTAGAATATTTAGGATTGGAAAAAATAGCGGTTGATTGGTTTCGATCCTATCTGACTGACAGGTACCAAAGATGCTTTGTCAATGGGTGTTTGTCAGATAAGATTAAAATTACTTGTGGTGTTCCCCAAAGCTCTGTACTTGGACCTCTACTCTTTCTCATATACATCAACGATTTGGCATCTTGCTTTGATCACGGCACTGCACGAATGTATGCTGATGATACAAATTTGTCCTTTTCTGCATGTTTTCCTGTTGAACTTCAGCGTCAAAAATCTTATTACTTTTGACCATCCACAAAGATGCAAGCACTAGTCAATGAGGTCAATCAATCATGCATTAAATTATGATTTTATTTTCAAAAAGGCGTATGTTATTTAGCTTAAAAATCACCTTTTGTTTCGATGTTTACACTTTGTCCCACTTTGCGATGCAAATCATGCATGCAGAGGCTTCGCGCCTTCCCTCGCCAGTCGCCTTTTTCCTTGGCAGCCTGCGCTCATTCGCCCAGCGGCTACGCTCGTGTTCCGAGTAAAGTGTAGTGAAATGTATCTCATCGTAATATTAAAGGCCCATTTCCACTCAAGAAAATTTTCCACGGACAGAAAATTTTCCGAAACTATCGTTGTTAAAAGTTGGAAATTTTCAACTTCAAAATTTTTTTCCGACGGAAAATTTGTGTTGGCCAATCACATTTTACAAATTTTTCTTTCCGCTTAAAATTTTCTTGAGTGGAAATGGACCTTAAATCCTAAGAAAACTAAAGCCTCTGCGGAGGAGAGAGGAACCACAGTGGAGGAACTGAGCTACACAGTCAGGACGAATCAAAGTGTACTATACAGGGTGTATAAAGAAAAGGAGACCTTTACAAATCAAGCATATTGTTAAAATTTGAATGCCTTTTCAATTGCACATATGCTAAACCGTGGTGCGTGAAATATTGATGAGTGCATATATTAGAAAAAAGAGGCCTTTAGAAACCAACCATTGTCATAATTTGAAACCTGGAGCACTTTGCTAAGCCCGCGAGTGCTTAACATGCGATCTACGTACAGTATGCATGGAAGATTGTTCCCAGGAGCAGACAATCTTTTGTTTAAACTTTATTTCAATTTCTAAAGGTCTCCTACTCTCCTTTTTCTAATATATGCATCAATATTTAGCAAATTCAAATTTAAACAATATGGTTGATTTCTAAAGGTCTCCTTTTTTTATATACACACTGTATATTGACTGAATATATAATGGCCTGTTCATGTGGGCAAAAGTTATCCCGGTTAGCGAGAATACTTTTCGACAAGTTTTCAAGTGAGATCTCCCCTTGGTATGAAAATAATATGAAAAGTTACACTGCGTTCATATGAGACAAAAAGTTTTCCCGTGTACCGAGATTTCGCTTGTTGACAGGCGAGATCTCGGTGACCGGGATAATGTTTTTCCCATATGAAAACAACTTTCCCGCTTAGCGGGACAACTTTTTGTCGTGTCAGCAACTTTTCAATTCAATTGATGTTCAGTGCCACGTCACAGCCGAAAACTTTATCCGGTAAGCGGGATAAAGTTTCTCCATATGAACAGACCAAATGCATTTGGCTAGTCGAAAAGTTTTCTCGTTAACCGGGATAACTTTTGCCCATATGAACATGCCCTAAGAAATTAAAATATCTTTGTAAAGCGCACGATTTGCTGGGCTTTGGAAATTAATATATTAATATATGCATTGCAGAGCAAACTCTTTCTGCATGGTACAAAATTCCATACCCGGACCTGTTAGGGCATTCGACTGGCTTTTAAATGTTTGCAGCCATTGGAATAAGACTGGCAGTTATATAGTTTGAATTCGCCGAATTCACATGCTTGGGCTGTGATGTAAGTTGTTCGAAATTCTTGACAATAGATTGCGTTGCAGGTGGTTATGCGGGATGTAGCAAGTGGTCTTAGATATATGTCTGGCGGTCAAAATTTTTCTGGATCCATGCATGCGGTATACATAAATATGTAGCCTACGATTTAAAACACGCGTAAGAGTGTTTTATCATAATTAGATAAGACATGTTTTCGTCACGTTCACGTCACGTTCACGTTTTCGTCATGTTTTCGTCACGTCACAATCAAATCACTCATAATTATCGTTAATTTGAATTTGAAAGGCTACACTTTTCTTATATACAGGGTGTCTCAAAAAAAACCAAAATCATTGAAATAACGTATTGTTCGAATTTCAATGCCGTAACACAAAGGATTTTGACAGGGTGATTAATTTGTTTTAAAAAATTAAAATATCTTTGTAAAGTGAACGTTTGTTTGCTCATGGGAATTTAAAAATGCTTCGTAAATTGTAATATGCGTAATATGCATTCGTTGGTTTAGTACTTTATGCCTGACATAACAAGTTTACGCTGAGTATTACCATTCATTATAGCAGTTATGTCAATCTTTTATGCACTCGTGGGATTAACTTAGTGCTAGGGCATTGAATATCGAACAATACGTCAATTTCAATGATTTTGGGTTTTTTTGAGACACCCTGTACAGGGTGTATAAAAAAAAGGTAATCGAACTTCAGCGCGCTATTGTATCTGAATTACTCTGCGTATGAACGATAGTTTTTCACATTCGGAAAGATCATGCTTTTAGCTGTTGAATGATATCTTCTTCACGCCAAATGGATAAAAAATGAGCAAATACGAATCCGATAAAAAATGTTAGTCAGAATCGCATATTTTCACCGTTGAGAGTTGAGTCTAAAACCATTGAAAATGAACCCCCTTTAGGACTTAAGTTGATTAATTTCACTTCATTAAACTGCACACATATTCATAAAAATTATTAAGTCGGAATAAATCTACGACACGTTCGTGATTAATTGCTTTTTCCTTTTGTTATGCATTGTTTTAATTAGGCACGGAGGTGAAAATATTCGATTTTGACTAACATTTTTAATCGGCCTCGTACATTCTTATTTTTTCTCCACTTGTCATGAAGGGCATGTCATTCAATAGCTAAAAGCCTGATCTTTCCGAATATGAAAACCAATTGTTCATACGCCAAGTAATTCACGTATAACAGCGCGCTGAAGTTCGATTACCTTTTTTTTTATACACCCTGTAGATAACAATTATCATTTATAGACCTGGAGCGAGGGGGATTCGGGGAAATATTACCCGAAGTGATGATATTTCCCGAGGGGCTTTGCCCCGAGGGAAATATCAACACTGAGGGTAATATTCCGCCGAATCCCCCGAGCGGAGGGTCTATAAATGATATATTATACCGAAAATTAAAAGCCTCCAAGTTGAGAATTAAAAATTTGACACATACCTTCGTGAATACGATGTTTTATTTTCGGATTAACGCAAATATCGCCGCTTTTCTTTCGAATCACATATCGTTGGAATATTAATGACAACATTTTTCAAAATTTGCTTCAAAATTTTGAAAAAGCCCCAGGTTTAAATTTGATTATTCATCACTCATCAATACTATTATTCTGTCGGCCATGTTGTTGTCATGCGTGTTGTCTCGCGTGGTCTACGCGAATAATGTTCCACCCCATGTTCCCCGGGGAACATAGGGTGGAACCTTGTCAAAAGGAACGTAGGCTCGCTAATTGATGACGTAAGGCGTGATATCGCGATTAATTTCATGCTCACGTGGCACAAACTAAGCTTCCTGATTGGACAATTTGAATTTGAGGTATAATATTTGTTAAATATACAATTGTTATAAATATACAATATACATGCAATATACAATTGTTAAATCTACAATTGTTGAATATACTATATGCAATTGTTAAATATACAATTGTTAAATATACAATTAATTGATACAGTATACAATTGATACAATATACAATTGATACAATTGATACAATTGATACAATATACAATTATTGAGGTCGAGTAGGTATGAGGAATTGTTATGGCCGAGGTTTTTGTGATAACACAAACCGAGGCCTTAATAATTCCTCATATCCTGCGAGAACCGAATTCAATAATTGTTTTATTATTTATTTGTCGGAATACTTAAAAAGGGTCGGCAAACCTTTCCTTTGAGGAAGCCATTTGTATTTCCCGCTTTTGACATAAGCCGCATGAACTAGCGTGACGTCATAACGTGTTACATTGTTTTTCAATATACCACGGAATTACGTCAAACGTGGTATATTTATTTTCAATATTCCACGGTGATGTCATAACTCCAAATTTGGGCAGCTACCGAGCGGATATGACGATTTCACCGACAGCACTTAGCCAATCAAAACTCTTGAATTATTTTCAATAAATAATAATGTACAATATGCAATATGCAATATGCAACATGCAGCGTACAGTATACAATATCAATGCTGACATCCATGTTCGTTTTGTCTATAGGGAAATTGAAAGGCCACAAATTGTCCTAAAACCGTACGTGAATAACAAAGAAGATACTTATCTCACGCTGGCAATTCTAGCTGATATTTTGGATAGACTTTCAGAATCTGGTAGAGTATTCATTTAAGGCGGTATACATTCGATAAACCTGGAGGATGGCAGTTAGAGCTGTGCGGTTAACCGAAAAATCCGGTTCTTCCGGTACTTTTTTTAGCCCCGAAAAATTATCCAGTAGTTTCGGTTTTAATTTCCCATGCCACTACATAACCCGCGAACAGGCATACTCTGAGAACGAGATTGGTTTAATGCCCGCCAAACGCCCATCTGATTGCAGGTTGAAATGTTTGGAAAATAAGAAGATTGTGCTTTTTTTGCACAATATCCACAGTACTAAGTGCTCAAATAGTTGATATTTTAGTTGTGATAGTTATTGCAGTTGTGACCTTGCTTTACATTTTTTTGAAAAGAAATATTTCATCTTCATAAATAAATTCCAATTGATCTTTTGAAATATTCAGAGATTTATACAAACTTACAAAGGCATAAGTTAATCTATTTAGTAAAAATGCTTGAAACATACATAAATGAGTTCATACATTTGTACTGTTCTTCTTTTTTTGAAAATAAACGAAACCGAACCGAACCAAGGTTTTTTTGTTCCAAAAAACCCGAAACCGAGACAAAAATTTTGGAACCGCACAGCTCAAATGGCAGTTACGTGATGGTTGAACTGTAAAACCACACTGGTGTTTTTAGTTCTTTTATAAATTTTTAATAACAATATGTGCATTTGATCAATTTATTTGCATTGTGTTTGATATATACATTATATACAGGTTATATGAAAAACTACTATCACCTTATAAAACTATTTAGGTCTCACACTACATATTTTAAAGCTTGCCCTTTTTCTTATTGAAAAAAAGATGGTATTTGTATCGTTGGAACTTGGAACAAGTAACAACTTAAAAAAAAACAACAACAAACTTCTCAATAGAAAATTTAGTAGAATTCTCCCTGCCTTTTAAGATGCCGTTTAATAATGCAATTTTGCTGTTATTTCATAGTCACGTTTTCATAGTAGTGGAATTATTGAAAGCATGTAGTGGGTAGAAAGCTATAGTTACTATGTTTTGATGAACCATTTCGAAAATGCTTCGATCTCTAGTTTTGGTGACAATTAATATTAAACAATTATTGGATGAGGCTGAGCATGACATCAAGAATTATTCAGACCGAGGTCAATGTTATCTGCCGAAGCGAAGCTGAGGCGGATAATACTGACCGAGGTCTGAATAATTATTGATGTCATGCGAAAGCCGGATCCAATAATTGTTTTGTTATACATTTAAAGACATCAGCGTATAAAACGATTAAACGAAGTTTATTAATGTTTAATTTCAAGTATATTACTTTATTTTCGCGCGCTTTTGGGTTTGAGTAGTTGGCCGCGCCGGGGCTTGGGCACGACAGCGTCCAAAAATATTTTTTTGAATGCAAGTTCGATCCAAAAAAACTGTTATTGGACGCTGAGCACGTCAGCAGCTGAAATTACGTAATAAGGTACCAAATATTGAGAATTATCCGGTGCTCTCTGTCCAATCAGGAACGAGAATACATACTACCTGTAAATGTATAATAAATTCAAATATGTTTAAGTTTCAATTTGTTATTGACTATTGTATCTCAAATTTGTAATTCTTCTTTCTCCGTCGGTTGAAATAATATTTTCCGCGAACCAGTCATTCAAATATAAAAGCAACCCATATAATAGACAATTTCCATTATAGACTAATTTTCAAACTAGGCAAGGAGATGAAAATAAATCACCATAGCTAACAAGAGCATACTAAAATGAGTAAAATTGCAAAGTTTGGTCGCATTTAGTCGGAACATGCGGAAAATATAGCCTTGCAAAGTTTGCAAATTTTGTATACTTTTGTATTACGTGCGGAAATTGCTACCATTTTCGGCCCAAATGTGGTAGCAATTTCCGCACGCAATCGAGCGGCCCGCCACGGCGTTCGAAAGCGTACGATATTTCGAAATCAGATGATTTCTAACCTGATTTCTGTTGATTTCTAACGGGATTTCTGTTGATTTCTAATGGGATTTCTGCTGATTTCTAACGGGATTTCTGTTGATTTATAATGCGATTTCTTGATTTCTAACCTGATTTCTGTGGGTGACCGCTGTCATATAGAATGTGAGCTCAATAATAACGAAGTTTTGAGTGATTTCTGCAAAATTAACTGATTTCTCTCGTGATTTCTTGATTTCGGGTTTGATTTCTGAGTCGAGTGTACGAGATTTTAGCCGTGGCGGGCCCCTCGCACGGAATACAAAAGTATATAAAATTTGCGAACTTTGCAAGGCTATATTTTCCGCATTTTACAACATTTCGCAACCAAACATTGCAATTTTACTAATTTTAGTATGTTCTTTCCGGGAATATCCTTTTTTTTGACAAGATAAAAAATAGTCTATAATGGGAATTGTCTATTGGAATGCTAATTCAGAATAGCTAGATTTCAAATTGAGTGCAAACATCAACATTTTATTACAATCATTTTCGAAATTTACTATGAATCCAGGATTCGACCGTTTTTTTATACACTCTGGTTATATATATATAGTTTGTAAAATCGACAAGCATACAATATTTGCCAAACAAACAGAACAAAAGGGTCTTTACTAAAGGAGCTAGAATATCCCCATGTTAAAAATACATGCACACTTTCATACTTTCTGACACTAGTGGAGGAATATAATCTATTAGTTATGAATTTCCATATGTGGTTAAACGTCAATTGCTTTCAATGACGACCATTTTCTTTATTTCCATAGAATCAGACTATATTCAGCGGAAGTTACCATCAGTCTTAAAAGAAGGTGAACCTAACTTATTACTTGTTCCAAAAGGTATGTAGCAACATAAACTTTTTTAATTTTTCAATTGGCGATAAACCACCTTTCTTATTCTTTTGAGCCGGTTTATTTGTCTGCATGAGCACAGCATAAAGTTGAATTTGGTATCAAACGGGTGTTTGTCTTTGACGGTCTGTGCCAGTGTATAGGTAGTGCCAACATTCAATAATAATAAAACTTCGGTTGATAAGGATGCAACTACCTGAACAATACAAGAAGAAATTTGACGCTTGGAGGTCTTCGTCGGTAAGGTAGTAGCTGCCTGGTGATTCTTTCCAAAGAATCTGACATATTTCAAAAGCCTCAAAGAAATAGAACAAACAGCAAAATATACAGAAAAATTTGAACGCCCTTTTTTAGAACAACTATTATTATTATTATTAGTTTAATAAAATCGTATCGCAGTACAAACTGAATTACACGATTATAAATATAACAACTAGATAAAATATATACATAGGGTCATAATGTTAAAGTTATATTAGAGGTTGCCAATTATCTACACTTAATTAAAAAGCCTGTTAAAGGCGGTTAGGTGAAGACAACATTAAATAATATGCTATAATGTTCAATAGTCTATAGTTCGAAAAAAGGTCAATAAGTGTAAAATTACGAATTATACTTAATTGTAACAAAGTTGCGAAACCGTTCAGTAAATATAAGCGGTGCAGGAGGATTGCTGTTTCGCAGACAATAGTTATGGACGGGTTCGTACGGTGTTTCTTTAAGAATCTTTACCAGCGGATTGCGAAAGGTTGACTTGTGACCCTTTAACGTCTGAACGAACGACTTGCAGGCATCGCCTCTGCGATCAATTAATGTATCAAATCCGGTAGTATCCATGGCATCAGCATATGACAAGTGAGGATAGATGATTTTAAGAGCACGACGTTGAATGGACTCAATTTCATTCGACAACGTGGATGACAACGTAGCCGACGACGGTGACGCGTATTCCAAAGGTGAACGTATAAAAGAGCAATAAACTGTTGCCAAATCAGATTGCTTCAGACCAGCTTTACGTAGCTTGCGAGAGGGAATATAGTCGCGAATTTGCCTTTTTCATTATATAATCGGCGTGTGAATTCCACGTAAGATCGTTAGACAAGTGGACACCAAGTAGTTTAAATGTCTAGATACTAATTCGACGGGAACTCCTGAGATGTGAATAGGACTAAAACAAGTGTGGTTGTATTAAAAAAAAGCAATGATCATTTCCTTACATTTCTTGGGATTGAGCTCCATTCCTCTTTTTGAAGCAAACTGGGAAATATCATTTACCACTATGGGTAGTAAACTAGGGGAACCCCGCGGGGCAAGGCATATTTTAAGGAATTTACAGTGGTGGGCCAAAATTAACGGTAGTGCCCCCGCGTCCCGCCACCTGCCGGCTGCCGGTCCAGCTCTGAATATTGAATATTTGTGTAGTAATCGTATTAAAACGCTTCCTGAACTTATTGAGTATTACAGTGTCACATTCAACACATATTTATTATTTCTAGTTTCTACACTACAGAGGGGTACTCCGCTAACTTCGGTACTGGGGTACTGGGGTATCATGCCATCAAGGACATGGGTGACAAACCCCAGTTTTCAAGTTCTGAGTTCGCCGCACTAACGGACGCAATTGATCTGACTAAAAATACAAAAAATACTGAAATGATTGTAAATGAAATGCAGTGTTGAAATGCACAGAATAACAAAGGCTATTATGTAAGGTCTTACACACCTCTCTTCTCACAAGATCTGCTATATATGACTTCCAACATTTCGGCATATATGATATATAGGGCTTCGATAATGCGGGCACATTGAGGAAGTACTATTAAAAGAAATATCAGCTGTGTCCCAAACGTTCTTGTCAAACTTATCCAAAACATTGTTTGCATATTCACAAGACATTGATCTGGACGGCCAACTTCTCGCACTTAGAGTTTCTACGAGTGAGTCATTGTACACATCAATAGCAAGACGGACAAGAAATATTCTTGTTTCCCTATTTGCTTTGTTTAAAATACGTGCCCATGGATGAGAATCAGACATTTGAGCCCAAGTTTTTGCATGCTCTTCCAATCTCTCTGCCTCTTGATGCATGGCAGATTCTAAATGATCAATTATTATCAAACGATCTTTACCATCAGCACGAATACCTCTTGCCAAAGGCACTTGACCATTACTCGAAAATCCCCTAATATGTTCTTCATGAGAAGCACACACTAAACAAGTCACAGATGGTCTTGTTCGATCTCCAAATTTGTCTTTCGAAACAGATAAACATTTGTTCGCTTCCAGCAGCCAATTTAGATTTATTTTTTTGTTTTTGTACCAACCTTCAACTTCGTTCCGTTCATCGCTGGGCGTTTCGGACGTTTCCTCACCTGATGCCAGGTCATCGACAATATAGAAATTAATGCTATTTTCATCGTCGTCAGCTAGCAGCTGTATTTTTAGATCCATCATCTTTTGTTTCCAACACAGCAGGAGTTGAGCATGTCGATGCACTTTCACCTCTGACGAATGTCTCATTTGTATTACGGTGAAAAAAGTCAGATAAAGTGGTTTGCCCATGGTTCATAATAGATATGTTCAATTCTCGCAGTCTCTTATTTTTTCTTTTCTGATAACCGCTCAATTCCTTTCGCTTGTTGTTTGTCGCCATATTTTTATAAGGCCACTCCAAATTAGACTTTAGTTTCCCGTCCTCCGCCCGCGTCTCCTATAGAACTGGCCGCATGATTTGTCCATTATTGCTAACTTGTTTCCATTATTTGACTTTTGTGACAAACAATTACGAAAAACCACAGTTTTCAAATAATCTATCGTTCAAGACATACGTATTTATGATACAACACGTAAAAATAGAAATAAAATTCTTGAAACTTTTATCAAAGAGCGTGAATTTGTTTCCGTTTTCACTACGAACTGCTGAGCTACACACGTCAAAACCGTAAGACTAATATCCTGGCTTTCATTTCTGCATACAAAAAATCTAAAACATTGCGTAGAAACGTGGCTGAGTGGATATTTAAAACGTATCTATTTCATGAAATAATGGGCCCTGTTTCATCTTTGAGACACCATAATGGATAATGGAAATGGACCGCCCGCCCGCGTGTAATTTGAAATAAGGGCGGACGGGAAACTAAAGTCTAATTTGGAGTGGCCTAATGTACACATTTTTAAAAATTATCATTTTATATTTAAATACAAATCGTGAAACATTGGTAACATGTGCCCCAAATACGTAATGTCAGCGGAAAAATATGGGTGAACTTTGTGTTCTGCACGTGTATAATTTGAAACAAATTAAACCATTACTGCAATATAAATGCCATCAAGAAATTGAAAGTTTATAGACTAGCGTTTTAATAGCTTGTTTAAGGTAAATAATTTTATATTCTTGATGCTAAAATGTAAAGACTGAAGCTGCGGGGCCCACACAGTGGTGGGCCAATACTCTGTGAGTGGAGGGGCCTGGTGGGCCAAATGGCCCACCAGTCTATTACTTAAAATATGCCTTGCCGCGGGGTGATTTCAATGGCCGTCGAATCATCAACGAATTTAATGCGACCGTGCCAATTACTTAATAGCTGGTTGACAAGAATTGCAAACAGAAGAGGTCCAAGTTTGGTTCCTTGAGGTAGGCCACCATTAGTTTTCTTCCATGGGGAATAGTAATTATCAATTTGTACGCATTGTTTGCGATCGGTAAGTAAATCATAAATCCAACAAACCATGGAAGGGTGGACTTCAAGTCGTTTTAGTTTGTCGATTATAATGTCGTGGTCGACCAGATCAAAGCCTTTTCTAAAGTCTGCGAAGAATATTCTAACAGAGCATTAACCTGACTCGAGAGCTGCAAGAATGGAATGTAACAGGTAAACCAGGGCATGGGTTGTAGATTTGCTCGGGAGGGAAAACTGCATTGAATCCATTTTGTGAGCAACTTGCAAAAACAGAGATGTTAAAGTAAACCCTTCTAAGACTTTTGACACTTGAGATGTTAGTGAGATGGGCCAAAGATCGTTCTCGGAATTGGAATAACGACAGCACGTTTTAGTCGTTGAGGAAAAATGCCTTGTTGCATGGATGGGTTATATATGTCAGTCAGAACAGGAGCAAATTCGGTAGCGAACATTTTAAGCAGCTTATTGGGAATACTGTCCGGACCCGTGGATTTATATATCTTAATTTGGCGAAGGGATGCGGAGACAATGCCGGGATTGACAAGAAACTGATGGGGTGTGTCGAGTTGGATGGAACTGGTATCACGTGTAAGTGGGGAGAAATGGGATGTGAGATTAACCAAGAACTCATTAAATGACTCTGCCAAATGGGTTGCGGTAGGGTTATCATCAGTTAATAACTGGACCACCGCTTAGATTCTCTCCACCACTTAGATGGATTACCTTCTTTATATTACGTTTTTCCACTGATTTCGAGTAATATTTACTACTTTATATAACTATATGGTGACACTTTCATAAATAGATGTTAAAAATCTCGGGAGCATTAGGTGGCGGCGTGAAGGAACCGTAATTTTAATTTTTTATTTAAATTTAAATTTTCAAAATTAAAATTCATAAAATATTTTATTTGTCGATTTTAAAACTTTTTGATAATTCACATGTACTGTACATGTAGGCCTAGTTATTAACATTTGGTGAAAATTTTATAAAAATTGGGCAAATATATTCCCTGTGAAAGCCGGAAAAAGGTTTACTGTAACCTTCTATGTTAGCCTTTTATTCTGCACAGTATGACCTTTTTGTGCAATTTCTTTACTCAAAGTTCATGAAAATACACGGCTTTCGTAAAGGACTGATTTAAATATTTTTATGCAGTGAACTTTTGGGCAGGCTTCTTTCAGGTTCAAAAATTCTGTTAAATTTCAATTAGAAACGAGTCTAAGAAGGCTGATTAAAATGCCTGTAAGTGAAAACTCGAATATTCAAATTGACTGTGACTATATCCTGTAGTTGGTCCATATATTGAACACAACGATTAGTATTGACCATGCCCAAAATATCGAAAATATCAAAACTTAAAAACGATAAATGTGGAGGATTAATGTAGAAGCAACAATAGTTGAAGCACGATGCAAGTAGAAGGAAAGTTTGCAAATAAATGTGAATAGGAGATAGGAAAATTTAGAATTGAAACAAGAATAATTACAGTAAATAGCTTTATAAATGATCAGCAAGTATTATATTTACAGAGTGCCTAAAATATTTTCTCACATTACATTACGAATTTATGAATTAAAAGAGTTTAGCTGCAGTATATTTATGAGATGATTTACAGCAGGGAGTACTGTAACAGAATGAATTACGATGTACTTCGACATTGAAAAATCAATGTCATAAATGGGTGACGCTCATTTACTCTATCTGCAGTTACTGTATGCCTTGTTTTAGGCGAAGTGTTTGGTTGTGTCTTATCACTCTTCATGGGTGCTACAGATCAACCTTTACCAACTGATGAAGAAGTAATTGTCTGTGACGAAAATACCACAGCTGAAGAGGTAAGTTAACCTCATCAATAAAAGTTGTGAAAGGTGGGGTTAGGCGGTTCAGGGTAAAAACCGAAAACGGTCTGAAAAAACACGAAAAAAAGTTTTTTATGACTTATGTCTAATTATTGTACAGTTATTGATTAAACATTCTCGCCACACGTTCAAGACTTTATGACTTTTTGAAATGTTGATCGCATCAGGTTCTAGACCTTAATACAGATTTGGATCAAACAAATGAGTCTGATAATTTGATCAAAATTTCACCAATACTAATATCTTCAATTAGTAACATACTTTTGTACAACCATACTTATGCTCTATGAAAGCGAAATGTTCCATTAAAGGGAAATATCCATAAAAATTAGACTTCCTCCATTTGAAAGAGTGATTGGATAAATTTCAAAATTTTATTACAGATTTTCTTTATCGTTCTTGGTATTAAAGATATTACCCTTCATTTCAAACGAAATATGCATTCTAACATCTTGTACATGCATGCTTGTTGTGACGTCACAACCGGGGTAAAATTATTTTGTATCTTGAGCGATTCTTGGGTCATTTTAATGCTAATTGCTATATTTTAAAACTCAAGCTATGTAAAAGCATTCTACTCAGGGGTCATCCTAAGAAAATTTTAGAACTGCCCATTTCGACAAGAACAGAGGTAGTGAACACAGGCTAACTATGTGGCAGACAAGGTTCATGCATTAATCACTATGCCAAAAACTCCCCTTCAATGAGACATTTTTGCCATGGCGTATTGGATACCTGAATAGCTAGGAGGGTCCTGGGGCAATGCTCCATTGGAAAATTTTGAATTTTAAAAGTCCAGAATGGTCGTTTTATACATTTTCAGAGTGACAGCTGGATTTGTTTTTGCCTTAAATATCTGTATGGGTGCTTACTGTATAATTAATTTTCATATAAAGCTCAAAACTGGATTTTAGAACTGCCCATTTTAAGTTTTGGAATTACCCATTTTACATTTAGAACTACCCATTTTGGAAAATGGGAAGCCTTAGGATGACCCCTGATTCCACTGGTATTATTTTTAGTTTTGAAACGTCTACCCTGGTTGTAATATACAAGCTTATACCGCTGACAACTTTTGATTGCACCACATACCAGTGTGATCGATTTCATCTTTTTAGTATCTAACATTAAATTTAATAGCCAACCTCAAATTTAATAAAACGCACGCTGTTGGACAGTGTTCATGTTTGATTTTCTGTTTTCTATAACACTTTTACATGCATCATTCCCGATCGAAATGTTTCGGTTTCACTGTATCTGAAAATTTCTCATGTGGAATGTTCCAATTTCACTTGTTAATTTCACATGTGAAATTTTCATAGGCAGGACTTGTGCTAAATTTATGTGTGGGGTGTTCCTCATTTTTAATTCCTAATCGTTCCTAATTTTTAAGTTGTGATCGACCCCATGCATGTTTTTTCTTGAGACAGTATTAGTACAGTATTCAAAATATTTCTGTGACAAATATATAGATCGAATTACTTTGGCGACGTGCAATTGTTGATGAGAGTGGTTTATTGTTTTGTCTTGCCAATGCTGATCTATTGGACTACGATGTCAGTCAACAAGCTGTTCGTTCTTTGGATATGTTGACACAAGGCTATGCCAGTATGTATGATGTAGCATATCACTTAGGCCTGTTTCAAACGTCGCGCTTCTCATGCGCCGAACGCATTCTCATGCGCCGAACGCATTCTCATGCGCCGAACGCCGAACGCATTAAATCAGCTGAAATGCCTCATTATCTATTGTTTCTAATGCGTTCGGCACATGAGAAGCGCGACGTTTGAAACAGACCTTATTAATTAAATACAATTCAATGATAGGATACAATTATTGTATCTCAGGATTCTATGACCAATCATAGGATGTACTGATTTAGTCTTCAGATACAATGATTTATTCGCAGGGCTTATTCACTATTTGGGCTTATTATTAGCAGGGCTTATTCCCAACTTCCGATCTCTGCTAGACCGAGAAATGCGACTTTATATGACTGTAGTTGTGTGCATATATAATAATACATTAAATTACCTTCAATGATCCAAAGCATACAGGTTCAAGGGCAAACGTCAAAAACTCAGGTATAAATACAAAATTAACACTGTATTGCTTGGTTATTCAGTATCTTTATTCTCAACTAGGTGGGTTCTTTAACTGTCGGTGTACTATATCATTTATAGACCCTCCACTCGGGGGATTCGGCGAAACATTGCCTTCAGTGATGATATTTCCCTCGGAGGAAAGCCCCTCGGGAAATAACATCACTCGGGTAATATTTATCATTTTATATTATATTATATGGCAAGCATTTGTTTTGATGAATCGCGCAATTTGATTGGCTGCTGACGAGGCAGGATTTTCCCGTATTACCCACGGGCAATACGCAATTTTTATTGCCCTGTGACGAGAGCCGAGTTTCAAACGGGAAAAAGTGTCTAAAAGTCTTTCAAACTATTCAAAACGAAGAAAAATAAACCTAAAGACAGTAAAGAAAAGAAGCAACTGCTGTGGTTAAAGAACTTTCTCAATACGTTTTTCAATAAGCGAAAGTCAAAATTACAAGGTAAATTTTACAATGTTTGTAACTATTAAAGCAGTCAGAAATAGTTGTGTTTTGACTGTGTGAAGACCTGCAAATTTTATTTGCAGATAGCCAGGAGGAATTTGACACAATTCTAATTAAAAAATACAACCAAAGCAGACACAGATTTATAATTTTTCCCTTAAAATTTCTGTTTTTGTTCGATAAAAAGAGACATAAACATGAGATGAAGCGAACTAAAAACGTACTTGTCCAAACTGTTTATTAATTTTATTGTTTTTATATTTGTTGTCTTTGATTTCAAACAACGAAATACCTCGTATTTTTCTTGAAATACTATCAAAACTGTGTTAGTATTCTACATAAAAAGTGTTGTTACAGTAGAATAGTTTTACTAACCAAGAGAACATTTTTTAAAATTGTTTTTTTTTGCAAATGTTACTAACCAAGAGAACACTTTTTACAATTTTTTTTTTCAAATGTTTCGGACTTTGTACTTTGACCTCGCGTGACCTTTTTCCCCATTTTGTGCAAACGTACAATGCCATATAATAAAAAAACTTACTCAATCGTTCGGGCAGTACGGGAAAATATCCAACCTCAGTCTTGCTGTATTGACCTCGCTATCGCTCGGTCAATACAGCAAGACCTCGGTTGGATATTTTCCCGTACTGCCCTCACTCTCGATCAGTAAGTTATTATTATAGACCCGGAGCGAGGGGGATTATACCCGAAGTGATGATCTTTCCCGAGGAGAAATGTCATCACTGAGGGTAATATTTCGACGAATCCCCCAAGCGGAGTGTCTATATGATATATTATACCGGAAGTTAAAGAACCTACTCAAAAGTTCAGAATAAACTTTAAAACTTGCTGAATATTAATAAGCGAATACAATTTTTAATTTCTTATGTATACTTGAGTTTTTGACGTTTTCTCTTTAAAATATTT